TGTACTACCATCCCTGGAACCACCATATATTGTGATTGCCAATTATTGTAACCCTTTGTCCCCTTGTCCCCCCAAACCCCCTCTCTTGGTAACCACTAGTCCCTTCTTGGTCTGAGTCTACTGATATTTTGTTCCTTCTGGTTTGCTTTGTTTTCATACTCCACAAATAAGTGAGATCATGTGGTATTTGACTTTCTCTGCCTGGCTTATTTCACTGAGCATAATACCCTCTAGCTCCATCCATGTTGTTGCCAATGGGAGGATTTCTTTTTATGGCTGAATAGTATTCCATTGTGTGTATGTATGAGGGTTCCAATTTCTTCACATCCTCACCAATTATTTTTTATTTTGGCTGTAAAGAGGCATCTCATTATGGTTTTAACCTGCAGTTCCCTAATGATAACAAGCATTTTTTCACATACTTGTCATTTGTATTATCTTTGGAGAAATGTCTACTCAAATCCTTTGCCCATTTTAACACTGGGTCATCTTATTTTAAGAGTTCTTTATATATTCTGGATACTAAGCCCTTATCTGACATATAATATGCAAATATTTTCTCCCAGGAACAGTAACTATTATAACTACTTTGTAAACATTGTCTGGCATTATCTACTAAAGCTGAATATACACACCTGGCCTATGAACCCAGCAATCCACATCTACATATATACCCAACAGAAATAAGAACATATTTTCCACAAGGCACATTCAAGTGTGTTCATAACAGCACCACTCATAATAGTAACTGAGAAACTAAAAACTACCCAAACATCCTGTGGTAGGCGTAACAACAGCCCTCCAAAAGATGCCCTCCACGTCCTACTCCCTGGAGCATGTGAATGTCACCTTAGTTGGCAAAGGCAGTTTGCAGATGTGATTAGGATTTTGTCAGGAGGAAATCACAGACTTCCAGTTTCCAGTCCATCAATCAAGTACAGAGATTGAAAGTCATCTCTTCATCGTAACAAGAAAAAAGCTGAGCAAACTGAGAAATCAACTCCTAGAGCTGTTAAAGGGCGGTCACAGGGTCACCCCAGTCTCAGAAACTGGAGAGACAGCCAGGCAGACACAGAGAACGACAACTTAACACTGAGGCAGAAACTCCAACACAGAAATTTGGGTAGGGTAGTCTGAGCTGTACTGTAGGACAAACTGCTAGAGGCTCACAGTGGACAAGTCTGGGAGTTACACGCCCCCGGTCATAGCTGTGGATGTGGGGAGGTCCCCATACTTCTGTGAATTTTACCTTCAGGAGCACTACCAGAACCTCAAAGGGAAAATCAGAGAAAAATCCCCAAGTGCTGCCACAGGGGGAGGAAGAAAGTAACCATTTTGAAATATGCCAGAATATTCTGTTCTTAATGAAGCCTGCCCTCAGGAGAAACCATTTTACCAGAGACTAATCTATTGGGATTTTATCAGAGAGCCTAAGCAACCATCCTGCCGCACCTAAGGGGTGGGGAAGGGGGACTGACAAGCCCATGTGAAGCTCACAACCCAGCAGCACAGGCTGAGGCCTAACCACAGGATTACAGAAGGCTTCCCCTTCCCTCATACCTTACCACCACATAACTAAAGGCCTCTTCTGTGCAGTTCCTTTTACCTAGTACATGCCCAGCCATCAACAAGAAATTATAAGGCATAGTGAAGGCAACAAACACAGTTTGAAGAGAGAGCAAGCATCAGAATCAGATTCAACTATGGCAGAGATATTGAACAATCAAACCATGAATTTAAAACAGCTATGATTAATATGCTAAGACCTCTAACAGAAAAAGCATACAACATGCAAGAATAGATGGGTAATAAAAGCAGAGATAGAAATTCTAAGAATCAAACAAAATGCTAGACATTAAAAACATAAAAAACCAAAACTGTAACAGAAAGGAAGAATGCTTTCCATGGGATAATTAGTGGAGGAGGCTAAGGAAAGATCTCGGAGCTGGAGGAAATGCCAATAGAAACTCCCAAAACTAAAAAGCAAAGAGAAAAAAGATTCAGGGCAGGGTGGAGTGTGGGGGAGAACAGAACATCTAAAAACTGTTGGACAACTACAGAAGATATAACATATACCTAATATAAAAACCAGAAGAGAGAAAGCAAAAGAAGAAATATTTGAAGCAATAATACTGAGAATTTCCTTCAAGTTAATGTCATACACTAAATCACAGATCCAGGAAGTTCAGAAAACACTTATGGAGGATAACCCTCCTCCCCCTAAAACTGTACCTAGGCATATCATATTCAAACTATGAGAAATCAAAGATAAAAATCTTAAAAGAAGTCAAAGCAAAAAAATACCTATGGAGGAGCAAAATAAGAATTATATCCAATTCCTCTTCAGAAACTGCCAACAAGGAGGGAGGGAAGGTGCATACATTGGATCAGTGGGGTTGGTCCAATTTATTTTTTTACTTTTTATTTTTTGGGGGGTGGGTCCAATTAATTACACGGAGGCAGCAGGGTCAGAGTGAGGTGATGTGTTGGAAGCAGAGAATCCAAGATGCTACATTGTTGGCTTCCCTGATGGAGAGGGGTCACAAACCAAGGAATGCAGGCAGCAGCATCTAGACGCTGAAAAGGGAGGAACAGATGCTTCTTGGAGCCTCCAAAAGAAACCAGCCCTGCTAACACCTTAACTTTAGGTGAATTTGGGACTTCTGACTTCCAGTGTAAGGTAATAATTTTGTATTGTTTTAAGCCACTAAGTTTTGGTAATTTCTTACAGTAGCAATAGGAAACTAATATACATCCATCAATAGCATAATGGATAAATCATAGTATATTTCCACAATGGAATGTTAAGGTACAATAATAACGGATAACATGCTTCATGTACCAAAATGGATGAGCCATAGAACTAATACTGAAAGAAATCTGGGACAAACAGAATATGAACCCTAAGATTCTATATATATAAAGTTCAAAAATAAATAAAAATTCTTCTATGGCTTTGGAAATTAGGATAGTGGTTACATGATGAGGGGTCAGACAGGAAGCATCTTGGGTACGAGTAATTGTTCCGTCTTGATCTTGGTGTTGGTTATATGTGGTTACTTTGTGGTAATTCAAACCATACACCTGTAACTTGTACACTTTTCTATGTTGTATATGTCAATAAAAGTGCTTAAAAATTTTTAAGTAGTTTAAAAGCAAACTGCCTTGCAAAAATTGGACAAAAATAGGGTTAAGGTTTAAACACGGTAAAAGCAAGGTTTTAGATTAGTTAAAACTGAATCCCATATAAAGTGAACAACTACAGGTACTTCAAGTAACAACTCAATTCCAAGCATTTTCTCCAATGTCACACACACAAAAATATGAGTTGGTCCAGACATGTAAACACAGCAGACATATCAAAGTATACCATGATGCACAGATTTCTTTTCTTTCATTAATTTCACTTACTTCAAGTAATGGAATATGATCATATGGCTGTAATTCAGATTCATAAATTTTGAGTTTTTTAAAATCCAAAATAACTTCCTTATGCAAAGTGACAATGCAAACAAAAAATTTCTTTACAACATGATTGAAGAAACTTTTCTGGATTAAAGATTTTATCAGTGGCATTTTTCATCTTGTATTTCTACAAGTAAAATTTTTACAAATTAACTTTCCCATGCCTATTCTCCATCTTAGTTTTTCCCACATTAAAACAAATTATTCCCCTCATATATTTTTAGCATTTACATTAAATCATTAGGAGCCAAATAAAACCATAAACTTAAACAGATTTTAAAGTTCTAATGAAAGGATCATGAGAGTAGAGCTATTGTCCTCAAACACTTTGTAGAAAAAAAATCTTTGGAATATACGGCATATTTTAAAGGAAAAACAAAGACCAATTTAAAGAGTAGTAACCATTTTTCCCCAATTATCTGAAATGACTCAATAGGGCAATGTACATGTTTTCTTCAGTTGAACTTCAATAAGAAGACTGAATTGTTCTTATGAAAGTTCTAAAACAAGCATTGAAAACTTTAGTATTGAAAAGGTGGGACTACTTACAGGTGTGCGTACCTCTAAGAGGAGCTGTTGCCAGTGCATTTGCCAAGCCTTTAAAACAGCTTTTGCCCATTAAGTAATGGAAAAGGCTATGCTATTATCTACTAGAAATGCTGACATAAGATTCTACAGTTCCAGACATGCTTGTGGGGAAAATGTGTTGATCAAGGTAAACTCCCAATTTAAGGACATTTACAGAATAGTGAATCTCATGTACTCACTTGTCTTTCAGAAAGATGAGAAAGCTCAATAATCCTTGAGTCAAACACTTCAAAATACTAACAACTTAGTCATTATGTGATATATACGAATTAAAATATAAGAGAACGCAACAAGTTATCTGAACCTGAATGCAGAGAATAAATACTTTATTAACTGATTACAGTTGAAAGTCACAAACAAAAAAGGGGTATATTATTAAGGCAGAGCTGTGTGTGTGTGTGTGTGTGTGTGTGTGTGTACGTACAATTCCAAAGACTGTTACCTGTTTACATTTTAATTACCTCTGCATTTTCCTTTTACACATTCAGGCAGTGTGCTTTTTCTTCTCATTTAAAGAAACAAACCTTGGCCAACAGGATGACAACTTACAGGATCATGGATTGAGACAGTGACTAGTGTATCAAATACTTTCTGATAGTTTTCTCAGCATATTCTGTGTGTGGTGGTGTATTTATGTTTGTGTGGAAAATCTGACAATTGATCATTTTCTCTTTCCCAGCAAAACTAACACACAATTTTAAAAAATTATTTTAACAGTCTTAACTAAAATAAGCTTAGACTTCCAAGTCAGTCAAATGCTCAAAGCATATTATTTTCTGCCCTTTCCTGAACCCTCCAGTATGTTTTAAATAGCCTTTGGAATATGATCACATGGCTGTAATTCAGATCCATAAATTTTGAGTTTTTCAAAAATCCAAAACAACTTCCTTATGCAAAGTGACAATGCAAACAGCAATCCTACCTAGTGTAGAATAATTTTTCTTCTGTATAGTTCCCTTTTGTAAAAATGAACAACCACAAAAAAAAAAAAAAAATTAGTCCCTCTGAAGCAGCACTCCAGCTCCATAATTCCACTTTTGAAGGAGAAGGCAGGGGCAAGTTTACATTATCCTGAAGACTGAATAAATGGCTTTATTTGGTATCCTCAAGAAGCTTCTCCTTCTGTAGGAGATGTAGGTGTTGTAGGAGAAACTGTAACTGGTTTTCGTGCAATTCTGTCTAGTTCTGCATGAACATCTGATAGGACAGGCTTCTGGCCTACATTGAAGGAAAAGGAACAAGATTAAGATATAAGTTAAAGTATCTTTTATACCAATGTCTCTTCATTTAAAAATTTCCAGCAGTTTCATTAACTTTACCTAGAATACTAAGTTATATAAATATCCTTCACTTAAAAATAAATTCTCTCATTTTAAATTGTGGGTCTGTTACCAAATGAAAGTCATAGTAGCATCCATCAGTTAATATCAGAAGGATTTATTTTTAGAAGGCACAGGACAGTAAGAACAGTAGAACACAAAATACTAACAAAATTTTGGAATCTGGAAAGATGATGAATGAGTGGTAACTAAATTAGCAGTCTTGAGCAAGTTTCTTCACCTTTCTACACTGGCAGTGGGAAAAACCAAGAAGCAATTCAATTTATAGCCAGAAACCTGTAAAAGCTTCAAAAAATAACAGTTGCAGATATTTGTGAGAAGGATGGCAAGATGGTGGGATTCAGAAAAGAGAATGGGTTAAAAAGTATTTAAACAGTAGTTACACAAGCAACAAAAGAAAAAGCAAACTGTCAAAATTCAAAACTTTTGTGCTTCAAAGAAGCACAAGGACAAACCAACCATCAAGAAAGTGAAGGACAAGCAACACAATGGGAGAAAACACTTGCAAATCCTACAACTGATAGAAGCCAAGTGAACAAAATATATAAAGAACACTAAAACTCACCAATAGAAAGACAAATAACCCAATTTAAAAATGGGCAAAGGATATGAATAGACATTTCTCTAAAGAAGATACATAAATGGTCAATGAACACATGAAAGATGCTTAACATCATTAGCCATCAGGGAAAGGCAAATCAAATCACACTGAGATATGACCTCTCAGCCACTAGGATGGCTTCAATCACAAAGATGGATATTAACAAATGCTGGAGAGGACGCAGAGCAATTGGCATCTCATACCCCGCTGCTGGGAATGTAAATGGTACAGCATTTTAGCATTTTAGGAAACACTTTGGCAGTTTCTCAAAAACTTAGTAAAGTCACCACATGACCCATCAAATTCTACCCCTAGGCATATACCCAAGAGAAATGAAAACATATATGCACAAAATAAATTTTCAAAGCAGTGTTACTAAAAGCCAAAAAAGTAGAAACAATCTAAATGTCCATCAGCAGATGAATGGATAAATAAAATGTGGTATATCCATACAATGGACTTGAGCAGTAAAAATAAATGAATCATTTATACATGCTACAATATGGATGTACCTTGAAAACATTGTTAAAGAAGGCATATACTGTTTGATTCTATTTACATGAAATCTCTAGAAAGGCAAATCCATGGAGAGAGAGAGAGAGAGAGCAGAGCAGCAGTTACCTAGGAGTGTGGGATTTGGGGAGGGAAGGAATAACTGCTCAGAGCAGAGGTTTCTTTCTGGGGAGATGAAAGTATTCTAAAATTACATTATGGTGACAGTTTGCATAACTCTGTAAGTCTATTAAAATTATTGAATTGCATGTGTTAAATGAGTGAACTTCATGGTATGTAAATCATATATCCGTAAAAGTTTTTTTTTTTTTTAAACTCTAGGTAATTGTACCTGACTTTTTGGCAGACGGTGGTAAACCACCGCTTCCAGCTCCAGCCCCACCTCCAGGGCTACCACCACCAACACCGGGGCCTCCTGGAGAACCAGTCTTTTTACTCAGCAGACTATTGAAGAAATTTGCCAGGACACCTTCACTTGTAGCTCCAACTATTGAAAAACAAAACAAAAAACTTTTACTCAAAACATTAGTTATTATTTATTTTATTAAAACATTATTATTATAGTAATCACACACAGAAAACAAATAACAGACTTAAAATCTAAGACCTGTATTTCCCAACTCCAAGTCTACTTAGATCTTTTGAGGCTGGGTAACTTCTCTAATCTACTTATGCATAAAATATAGCTAACCTTTAAGAGGGTAAGACAATTATTAAAAAATTAAGATGGTATTTTTAAAGGGCCAAAAGCATTTAAAACAGACCTAAGACACTAACATATCTCCCTTTCGAAAGGGGTTCTTCAAAAATATAATTGTTAAGAAATACTTGTCTCAAGTATTACAAATGCCACCTACCCTGTATGAATACCAGTAGAAGTTTCAGGAGATAAATGGACAAAGGATAGCAATAAACAATTCACAGAAAAGAAATACCAACAGAAAGGAAATGGTAGGGAAAACTCTTATCAGTTCGTGTTTAAAGAATGCCAATTGGGTTATGTATGGCAAAAAAGGCACCCTCAATGCTGATGACATGTCAACTGAATAAGTCATATGAAAAACACTATCAAAAGGCATAAAAATGTACCATCTCTGACCTACTAATCCCACTTGAGGCAATTATTCCTACCAAAATAACTATTACGTATATAGTTTTTCTTTATATTAATTGCCAATAACCTATTATAGTAAAAATATGAATTTCTTCAATGACCTAGCATAGGAGAATGATTAAATACAACACAGAGCTTTCATGAAGCTTACACATCATAGATATATTAAAACTAGACTGGAAAACGATTCACAGTCGGATTAGAAGCTATTGCACCAAAATGAAAATAGCTATAGTAAAAGGTAGTAGATATCTTTCTATTGTATAACGTATTGTGTTTTTTCCTCCAAAAGAGAAACGCACCTTTCATGTTTGGATCCATTTTTTTTGACCCAGCAGGGATGGGTGACACACTGGCAACATTGGATGACACAGACCTATTTGGTGTTCGCGGAGAGCCTCCTGGGACTCTTGGTGAGGCATCCTACATTGCAATAGGAAAGCCGTAATTATAAAAACCGAAAACGTTCAATTTCACAAGTTATTATAAAAAGAAATTGCTTTGCAACTGTCCCTCATCTGTTCCACTGGTACTTTTACACTGGGAGCCGCTGGCACAAATGGTTAGCAATTTGTGTCATTATTAGAAAATACTTGAGACCCATCACATTTTAGAACACTGATTTTCCCTTCAATGGAAAAGAACATGCTGAATTGAAGACTGCAGTGTGATTACTACTGTAAGCTCGGGAGTCAGATATGGGCTCCAATCTAGACCTGCATCCTCCTAGCTGTACAACGTCCTCCAGAGTCTCCATTTTCTCATCTGCTAAATGGAGCTATAAACAGTATCCATCTCATAGGGCTTTTGTGAGGATTTACAAAGAACACGTGTAAAACGTTCAGCAAAGTAACTGACACACAACAAATACTAAAAAATAGATCTTTAAAGTTTAAATATTCTAAAAGGGAGTGAAGTTTCTCTCTTAAAATCTCACAAATCCCAGAAGAATTCTTGTCAAGCTTAAATCAAAGCACATCCATAGGACATGTATATGATCAAGGAAAAGAACTAAAATAATATGCACTGCTTTTTAATAACTGTGTCAAAATCTGTAATACTGACCACAGGCCTTCCAGCGGCAGTTGGTGGCTGCTTTGCTAAAAGGGACTGAAAAACACAAGATAATTTCAGGTTAGACATTCACAGTATATATTACTGTGTTTTTAAAGAAAATAAATACAAGTATACCCATTAACCATACTAAGTCTGCTTCTGATGTAATTTCATACCTGCAGCTTCATAAGAAACACTTGGTCATCTTCTGCCATAATTTCCTTCTCATGCACAAACTGAAATGAGCAATGCATAAATAAGCAAATATATTATGCTAAAACCATTAATAACTTACTCTCTAGATTAAGCTAATTAAAAAAAAATTCCAAGAATAGGAACATTACTTAGGCTATATTTATATGCACTGACTGTTCTATGAGAAGTCCCTACAGCAGACTTACCCAACAACTATCTGCAATAATATAAATGTTCTGCAATATGGTAGCCATCAACCACCTGTCATTACTGAGCCCGTGAAATTCAGCTAGTGTGACTAAGCAACTGAAATTTTAATTTTACTTAGTTGTATTTAATTTAGATTTAAAAGCTGTATGTGGATAGTAGTTACTGTATTGGATAGCACAACCTCTGAACTACAGGCATATTAATCATGCTTATAAAGTCGGCTAACAACAGTGAGGTGTTTTGAATGGGCCAATATCCCACTGGAGGGAAAAGCAACCTGCCCCTGGTTTCCTGAAATAAAAATCTAATGGCCCTCCTACTTGCTGAAAGAGTTGGAAAAAGGAGCTGCAAATGTCTCCTGTTTCTACTATTTCTGTACAATGCTCACCACGGTCTATTTTCCACCCAGTAGCTAAAGGATCCTTTTCAAAGGTTAAATCAGATTACATCACTCCTCTGCTCAAAGTCCCTTCCAATCAATCCCACTCAGAATGAAATCCAAAGTCCTGCCTGCAGCCTAATGATGAGGCCCCACCAGATCTTAACTCTGCGTTTCATCTCCTCCCACTCTGGCTGGCTTTCCTCATGGCTTTTTTCCAGCCTCTCAGGTCCCCTCCATCACTCCTGCCCCAGAGCACGTGCACTTTTTCTGCCCTCAACATTCTCCCCTCTCATCAGAGGCATTCCCGAACCTTTCCTAAAACAGCCTCCCTCCCCGCCCAGTCCTCTCACTCAGCTCCCCTCACTGGCTTTATTTCCACAGCACTTATCACCACTTGAGGATGGCCTACGTAATGAAATACTATCGCATCACCTCCTATTTAGCACCTAGTGTCTTAACTGTGGATCAGTAAATCTTTGTGGAATGAATAAAAAACTTACAGAACAAAGAGAGAATGAGAAAAACTGCTGCTTTTGGGGGAGATGTGTGCATTTCTTGTAACAGACATCCAAACCAAACACCACACCAACTGATTTTTCATTTGACATTACTTTTCTTATTTCTAATTACCCACAAACAGAAGACAGATGCTCAATGTAAATGTTTGGATTCTTAAGTAAGAATCTTCTTACATGTTCAGTCAAAATTATTTTTTCCTGAAAGATGTCCACTTAAAAGCCATTGAGAAGTACTATACATAAACACTCACTTGTATACAACTTGTCAGAAACATGTATAATAACATCTAATCATAGAACCTCATATGCCACTTAACATGAAATCAAGACTTTGTAAGAGTATCTTCTGGAACCTGATTTTAGTAGTCATAAGAATGACATATAACTGTCAAGACAAGAATTGTATATACGAAACGGGAAGTTCCTGGAGAGCTGTGGGCTTGCATGAGTAACTAATGACTCGGAGAAGAGCCAATAGATTGACTCAATAGATGGAGGCTGACAAAATTAGATTTTCTTGGCTTTTGGCTGAGCTCCAGGTTGGAAAGTTCGCAGCTTCTACCTATTCAAACTGTTCAAGTCCACATATTCATTCATGTTAATCCATGACTTCCACTAGAACACAGTATCTGCACTAATATATTTCTGCACCAACATTTGCTAATATAAACATGCCAAAGGTTAAGTAAAGATTGAGTAACCAAATACCTGATTTATATTTGATAAAACAGATTTTAAATTGAACATCAGAAATACATAAATTACAATTAGAATCACAGAACCCAAGAAGGGACTAACAGCTATCAAAGGGACTGGGGAGAATGGGAGGGTAGGGAGGGATAAGGGCGGGGAAGAAGAAAGGGAGTATTATGATTAGCATGTATAATGTGGGGGGTAGGGGAAAGGGGAGGGCTGTGCAACACAGAGAAGACAAGTAGTGATTCTACAACATCTTACTATGCTGATGGACAGTGACAGTAATGGGGTTTGTAGGGGGCACCTGGTGAAGGGTAGAGCCTAGTAAACATAATGTTCCTCATGTAATTGTAGATTAATGATAACAACAACAAAAAGTTACAATTAGAAACACCCTAAATACAAAAGGACCCCCTTACCTTGCTAACTACAATCTTAAAATTATGGACTTCCATTTCAGTTTAAAAGCCTAAATATTTAAGACTATATACTGGAACTGTTACCTTTCGGACGGGCGGCTTAGTTATAGTGTCTTCAAAATTATCTTCCGCTTTTAATGTTTGAAAATTTTCATGCAATATTCCTATTTTCTTATCATTATCCCACCCTGCTGGACTGGAAAGAAACATATAGGATAAATTCTCAAGGATTTACATACTTGTTCTTTCATTCAATCCATGACCATATTAAGAGATCCTTCTTACGAAGTTAAATTTGACAATTAGGGAAAACCAATCAGCTTTTTTACTATAATGCTCAAGTTATGGTTTACTAACTTCTACATAAAATTATTATCAGTCATCCTGATCTTTAAAACATCATTAAAGTTTTTTTTGGGAGAGGATGGTTATCACTATTACCTCCCAGTTTAATCACATAACTTTTTCAAAGCATTTCTAGATTATACACTGAGTCCTTCATGTATCATAACCAATTAAGGAGTAAGCAGATACAATGACATATGTACCCAATAGTTTAGCTATAATAGTGAGGCCTTTCAAAAAGAGCTCAGGTCAGCAGTGAATCTAAAAGTCAGTGATAAATAAATCAAGGCAGGTTATAAATAAAACAATCCAGGAACACATTCTCACTTTCTCATCACAGAAAGGTCTATTATTGGTCTCACTTCAAAAACCAAAAATGATGACTCATCATCAAACCATAGCAACAAAACACAATAAAATATTGTGGAGCATACTTACATAAATACTGCATCTTTTTCCACAACAACAGCAGGAATCTTATAGGGAAATCCATATAGTTTCTGGATGATGTATTTATACACTAAATCTATATTTTTGTTTTCTTTTACTGAAGTATAAATAAGAGCCGCACCATCTGAATGATACCATTAAAGAAATTTTTGGACAAATTCCATGAGCAAGTACCATAAAATTCTGTGCTCTCAGCTTAACATTCACATGTATACTAGTTTCAAAAATAACTTCCCAAGATATATTGTAAGGTAATCAAGAATTTCAAAAATATAAAATACTTTCATACAGGTTAAAATGCAAATAAAACAATCTTTACATAATTGATGTAACTTAGGAGGGCAAAAGATTAAGCCAAAAAATAAAGGTAAATTTAGTAATACTGATAATGACTACTACCTCTGTATTAAGGCGATGTGTTCTTAACCTTCTTGAACTTCATGAAAGAGGGGTACAATTAATCAACAACTGTTTTGTTTGCCTTTTCAATATAAATGGTTTCAACTAGTGTCTCTTGTAATTTTTATGAGTCCCAGGAATTAGGATTTCAGGGACAATGCTCAAGAGATCAACCAAGGAGAGATGAACCTACAGGAACCTTTTAGGAACGAGCCAAGCAAGGCAAAGACAGATTCCACAGCCACCTGAGTAACAACTACACATGAAGATGTATTAAATAAAGCAGATCCTAACTTTGATTGTTTATCCAAACTGTACCAAAAGATCAAGAAAGGCCTGAGGAAAAGGGGGCAGTGTGACTACTACAGAAGATGTGGCAAGGGGGCAGTGTGACTACTACAGAAGATGTGGCAGGGAGGCTGTCAGAAATTCCATGACCATTGTTAAGGACCACACTCTGGCACTGGCCATTGTGTCCCTACAAAGATGGTGACTTAAGCCAAGTGCAAATGCTGAGAACGGTCCAACTTCTGAACTGGAACACTTATATTTTAGGATGTGAAGAGCACAATGGAGGATATTATAAACCAAAAAGTGGTACTGCTGATACAACCCAACTTGTCACATGCCTTGGCAGTAACTATCATTGTAAACTTAATAAAAGCTTTATTGTGGAAACTTTCCACTTACGATTCTAAAGCTGAAAAATTTGCATTGCAATTAATTTTTTTTAATTTAAAAATAAAGATGAGAGGAGGATTAAAGATGGCAGCATGAGAGGTGAGACACAGGCTTCCTCCTAAAACCGCATATAATACAAAAATATAATTAATACAACTAATCCTGGAAGAGCAACAGGAAAGAGGACTGTACCAGATTGCATACACCTGGAGAAAAGAGCAGACCTCACAGAACAGGGTAACATACCAAAGCTGTGGCCTGGTGGGACCCAAGTCTTTCTGCAACCCCAGCTCACCAGCGGGAGGAAGAGAAATGGAGTGGGGAGAGAGTGGAGGCCTGGGAACTGCTGAATACCTAACTCCGGAGATTTGCTCTGGGAGCACAAACCTACATTTCATAGTGCTTGCATGGTACTCTCATGATTAGGGGGTTGGAAAGCTAAGACAGGCAGAATTCCTGGAGAGACTGAGATTCCAGTCGCTTGTGGAAAGCAGGGATCCATATCTGGCTGCTCTGGGACAAAAGACAGGCAGGCAGTCTGAGAGACTTCCTAAAAAGGAAGACCTTAGCAAGAGGGCTGCTAAAGAGGCAAGGATTGCACAGACCTTACTGCTCAAGAGAAAGGACAGGCAGACAAAATTGTCCAGATGCACTCTGCCCAGCAGGTTGGCAGTTTTCATGATCTTCAGGTGCTCCAGTTACATGGCTGGCTACACAGCTCCAAGGATGCCTTCCATGATACACAGCCCATTGCGCCTTTCTCCCGGCCAGCCCCACCTGGTTCACAAACTGGCAAACCCTACCCTGGCGTTAGGCCAGTCAGAGGGAAGATCTGTCTACAGCAACTACAAATGGAAAGCATAGAGGATTATACCTGTGTGCTCGGCCCACCAGTTCAGGCAGTGGAGACAGGCCTAGCAGCGGGGAAGCAGGAAACAGCTCTTTCCTCCCCGGAGGCACCAATACTGCTCCCCTGTGACCCCCAACATTGATTCAGGGGCTGAGCAGCTGCAGAGTAGAGCTTCTGGACACTAGAGGGCGCCATTTACAAATCTAAAATGCCAAAGGAACCTGGTACAGAGTAAAATTATTAATACAACTCATGAGAAAGATTTAAATGACATCGATGTCATGAATCTTCCTGAGAGTTCAAAATAAAAATCATTAACATTCTCATGGAGGTACAGAAAGATATTCAAGAACTCAGGAATGAATTCTGGTCGGAGATCCAATCGTTGAACAGCACAATGGAGGGTATTAAAAGCAGATGAGATACAGTGGAGGAGACGATAAATGAAATGGAAACTAGAGAAGAGGAATACAAAAAAGCTGAGGTACAGAGAGAAAAAAGGATCTCTAAGAATGAAAGAATATTGAGAGAACTGTGTGACCAATCCAAATGGAACAATATTCGCATTATAGGGGTACCAGAAGAGGAAGAGAGAGAAAAAGGGATAAAAAGTGTCACTGAGGAGGTAACTGCTGAAAACTTCCCCAATCTGGGGAAGGACATAGTCTCTCAGGCCATGAAGATGCACAGATCTCCCAACACAAGCGAACCAAGGAAGACAACACCAAGACATACTGTAATTAAAATGGAAAAGATCAAGGATAAGGACAGACTATTAAAAGCAGTCAGAGAGAGAAATAAGATCACATACAAAGGAAAGCCCATCAGGCTACCATCAAACTTCTCAGCACAACCCTTACAGGCCAGAAGGGAGTGGCATGACGTATTTAATGCAATGAAGCAGAAGGGCCTCAAACAAAGATTACTTTATCCGGCAAGATTAACATTTAAATTTGAAGAAGGGATTAAACAATTTCCAGATAAGCAAAAGCTGAGAGAATTTACCTCCCGCAAACCATCTCTACAGTGTATTTTGGAGGGACAGCTATAGATGGAAGTGTTCCTAAGATTTAATAGCTGTCACCAGAGGTAAGAAAACCACAATAAAGAAAGTAGAACAGCTAATTACTAAGCAAATGCAAAATTAACTATCCTCAAAGTCAATCAAGGAATAGACAGAGTACAGAATATGATACCTAATATATAAAGAATGGAGGAGGAAGAAAAAAGAGGAAAAAACAACCTTTAGATTGTGTTTGTAATAGCATATTAAGTGAGTTAAGTTAGACTCTTAGATAGTAAGGAAGTTAACCTTGAACCTTTGATAACCATGAATCTAAAGTCTGCAATGGCAATAAGTACATACCTGTCGATAATCACCCTAAATGTAAAAGGACTGAATGCACCAATCAAAAGACACAGAGTAATAGAATGGATAAAACTAGAATAAATAGTTCTAAAATTCTTACGGAACCACAAAAGACCACAAATAGCCAAAGTAATCCTGAGAAGGAAGAATAAAGTGGGGAGGAATTATGCTCCCCGACTTCAAGCTCTACTATGAAGCCACAGTAATCACGATAATTTGGTACTGGAACAAGAACAGACCCTTAGACCAAGGGAACAGGCTATCACCATTGTGGAAAGCAATATGGAGGTTCCTCAAAAACTAAAATAAAAATACCATTTGACCCAGGAATCCCACTCCTTGGAATTTACCCAAAGAATACAACTGCTCAGATTCAAAAACACATATGCACCCCTATGTTTATCGCAGCACTTTTTACAATAGCCAAGATATGGAAGCAACCTAAGTGTCCAGCAGTAGATGAATGGATAAAGAAGATGTGGTACATATATACAATGGAATCCTATTCAGCCATAAGAAAGAAACAAATTCTACCATTTGCAACAACATGGATGGAGCTGGAGGCTATCATGCTCAGTGAAATAAGCCAGGCAGAGAAACACAAGTGCCAAATGATTTCCCTCATTTGCAAAACTGAAGGAACAGCAGCAGACTCAGAGACTCTTAAGAATGAACTAGTGGTTAACAAAGGGGAGGGGTGTGAGAGGGTGGGGAGGGAGGGAGAAGGGGACTGAGGGGTATTATGTTTAGTACACATGGTGTGGGGGATCACAGGGAAAACAGTGTAGCACAGAGAAGGCACATAGTGAATCTGTGGCATCTTACTATCCTGATGGACAGTGCCTGCATTGTGGTATGGGTGGGGACTTGATAATATTGGTAAATGTAGTAACCACATTGTTTTGTCATGTGAAACCTTCATAAGAGTGTGTATCAATATTACCTTAATAAAAAATTAAAAATATATAAATAAAGATGATTTTGAATTGTTGCCCTCACTCAGTGACACACACCTCACTTGAGGTGACTTCTCACATTGTGCATTCTTTTAAAACTGATTGGCTCTACTCAAGGTCTATAATTATTGTGGACAGTCTCCTTTCTGATGACATTTCTATATGTGTACACTTTCAAGTATAGCATTAAGTAAATGTTTAGAGAGGCTGCTTGTTCTCAAATTTCCTAATCATCCAAGATAACAAAAGGCTTTAGACATCTACTTCAATTACTTCCACCTTCTGTTTTCTTTTTCAAGACCCTTATGTAAACAAATGCGCTTTAATTTAACCCAATTCAACCATTATGTGACAGGAGAAAAGAAACGGCCTTGGAGATGACAAAGGAGAAAGGGAAACTGCTGGTCAGCTGATCTTCCTCATTACAAAAAGCCTTGTAAGTTATCCTTAAAGTTCTATTGATGAAAATGAAAAACTACACACACTATAAACGTGTATATATTACTTCTTATCCCTATGTACTCTTAATACCATTTCTTCACTTTTCAGACCAAAAAGCTTTGGGTAGGGAATATAACTGCAAAATATCTGACCCAAGAGGGGTGGGTGAGAACTGCACTCAAACTGTGATGAAGTGTTCTACAGAAAATTCTCTTAAAAGCATTCACTTACAACCCTTATTCTATCCTCTTAGTTGTAAAGGTTATTTATTCATTGGCTCACCTAATCCTTGAAACTTAGACAAAATTCCTTATGATAGGTTTTCTAGCCTTGTGATCATCAAAATCACCCAGACAGCTTTTTACAAGCATAGATTCTCCAGCTTCACTTTTGTATGTTCCAATTCAGTAAGTCTTACGTGGGCATAGCCAGATATCAAGACCACTGCATTAGACTATGTGTGGAGATGATAACAGACTAAACGTGTTAAAAGTGAGAGCTCACAAATTTAAATATTGATCTTGCCCCATTGCCCTCCCCCAATAAGTGAGTACCACTTTTTGATCAGAATGCTCACAATGCCAACTCATTAGAATTTTCCACGTTAAGACTGACAAATTATTTTTTCTTAAGCATAATATCTTAAAGACAGCAAATCAAAGTTACATACTTTAATACTTGCTTTTGTATTTCAAAATGCCCGAATATAAACGATTTGGAAATAAAAATGAAATTTCCAACCAGAGGTAGGAGAGCAGTTTATGGAATTTCTGAAATTCATCATAATTCCTTTATGTTAAAAAAAAACAAATGACCAAAAAAACAGTAAAGCACGTTGCACCAATCAATGTATTAAAAGGATACACTGTAAACAAAACTTTCGAATATGTGACTGAATAAAATCAAAATGTTCATCTCTGTAGTCATGTTCTTTCTCCAATACACTAATGGCATCACACTGTTAAAATAATTTTAAAAACAGTAATAATACAACATTACCTTTAAATAATCAAAATTAAATATAATGAATTAAACAATTCCATTTTGGGTGAGGGAATATCACAAAACCACCTCCATGAATGTCACTCTTATCCGTATACAGACTTTAAGTTGGTGTGTTAAGATTAACGAGTAATTTCATTTTTTTAAAAAGCACTGACTTCTACATTATACTGAATGAGGTGAGAACACAAAAGAGAAAGTTTTAGTACACGAAAGGAATGAAGGTGAATCGGTGAATAAATCCCATACCCTCCTTCAATTACACATACAAATTTTCTATGTTACAAAAAAATTAACAATTTTAGATCTCAAAGTGTTTATATGATGTCACTTTCTTAACTCTTCCATGACTTACCAGCAGTAAAGACATACTACTTAGGACCAGATGGGAAGATGATGAACCTGAACTGTAGACTACTTTAAAGGCAATTTGATTTTATTATAATGCATATATAGTGACCAAACTAAATGAAGATAATCTTGATAAAAGCAACCCTATCAGAACCTTGTCAATGAATACATAAAAGCCATTGATTGCATACCAGCTTTACATAATGAGTACCGATAAGTGTTGAAAAGTCTACTTTAAGCATATAATCTTCTAATTCTAGGATATTACTACATCAAAATTTAAAGTGGAAAAACGCTTTTATAAAAATTAATAATTATTCTTACCTGTAATAATTTCTATTAAACTATCTAATAAAGTCTAATTGGAATTGGACTTCTATTAATGAAGTCTAATTGGAATAATTTCTATTAAACTATCTAATGAGGTCTAATTGGAATTGGAAAAATGAAATTCAATCACAAATAGGGTATTTGGAGTAACATTTCTTTCCTGTAAAAAAGAGACTATGATTAAGATTACAAACCAACATGCAAATACCATCCAATATTATTCTGTTTGTTAAGCAAAATTATCTAGGAAACCTAATGTTTCAACTCCAAAAGAGCCTGGGAAATAAAACAGTTGTTCATCCTTAGTTAGTAGCAGAATCTGTAGGAAGCAAACTAACCTTTGTGCAAACTACTAGTACTGGAATGCCCAAGTTATGTGTAAGAGTATCCGCACCCAGAGGTAAAACCACACTGTCATCTTTGTCTTCTTGTGACACAGTATTTCTTCTCTGAGGAGAAGCTGGGAAATCTTCTCCTGGCTCTACATATTCTTGGAAGTCTCTAGTCACTGAAAATCAAAGTAAATAATTTAACACATAGTTTAGAAATTGCTTTATTTCAGTGGTGGCTTTTTCTGCCATAATCTAAATATGTACTTTACTAGAGTTTTTACTTAGGTCTTATATTAGAGATGAAAAAAAAAAGGTTTAAGAACTCTATTTCAAAGACAGGAAGTACTGTCAGTCTGTGCAAATTACTCTGGGCAACTCACAAACTAGCTTTGTTTCTCCACCTTCACTAATTCACGTAGGGCACTTAAAGGATAAAAGAAAAATGTGTGTGTGTGTGTGTGTGTGTGTGGCAGGGCAGGGGGCAATTCCACTATTTGAAAGACTGTCTTAGATGACTTTCTAATATTAATTTCCTTTCTCTAAAACCTTTACTCAGATCTTTTTACTGAGTTGCAATCTTGGGGCATATTCATTCTGTAACCCCGGTAAGAATTAATTACCAATCAAATTTTTAGAACTCATTTCCAAGACTATCAAAATCTCCACTTAAAAAACTTAATGTAAATGTGTCAAGAGCCTTAACAATGTATACTTTGACTCAGTAATTATTCTTTGTGGAATTCTCAAGGAAACAAGCAATAAATGTGTGTGCATGTGCACACACAGACACAGAGTCCTATATAAGATGGAGTTTCATGTTTAAGAACAAAATAACAAGTCTGGAAACAAATTATCCACAGCATAGCATTAAAGCAGCACATGAAGAAATATTATACAGAGCCCTGAAGAAAGAAAACTGTCTCAAATTTACATGGGGTCAGGGAAGAGGGAATCTTGACAGTAGAGCACAATGCCTCCAGGAACACAGGGGCGTGCATTATACCTTTAACAGCTCTGGTAGCTACTACCCTTCAAATCAGTGGCTGAAATCTAACAGTGGTTCTCAAGTTTTAGCATCCACCAGTTTCTGATTCAGCGGTCTTGGGAGGGGCCTAAGAATGTGTTTCTGACAAGCTCCCAGCTGTACTGACATTGATGCCACTGGTCCTGGGATCACACATCAAGAACCACTGCTAAACTATAAATTTAGAGGGAAAAAAACCCCACAGGCAATGACAAACAGGAAAGAAAGGTATAAATTAAAAGCAGTTAGACATCTTTTTCAATGACTTAGGCAAACATTCTCTTAAGTTTTTACTGTTTCCTTGCATATAAATTCCAGTGAACTTTCAATTTTCCTTTAAAAGTTATAATTAGCTAACAATAACAAAGAAAAGCAGCATTTCATCTGTATATTTTCCTATGCAAAGTACAATACTGGCAAATGAACTGGTCTCAGTGACATTAAGAACTGTAACAACTGGCTCACAACCTGTTAGAAATGACCCATATTGTTTATGTAATTTCCATGAAAATTTCCAATTTATAAGGGCACAAAATATATCGAGTACTTTGTAAAATAAAAAAACAGCTTAACATATTTATATTTGTGTGGTTAACATCTTTTTGGACATATTTCATTTTGACAAGGTTGATACGATTGCTCTACTTACTAAGAAATGAAAACTGCTAAAAATGAGCAGCTGAAGAAAGATTCAAGGTTTTTCATCCTGAAAAACTATTTTCTAAACTGAACATATACAGCCTTTTGACAAAGGAGAAAAAGCATCTGTACTACAGAATCTGCCATTATACAGATGTACACATATGTGTGTATTTCCAATTTAAAACAGTATTAAAACCTAGCGTATCACTCAAACTGAATTTCAGAAACTTTTGGTTCCTTCATTAAACCTTATTCAAAGCCAAAAATTCCTAATAATTATGATAGTCAAACTAGGACATTTTGTATTAGAAATCTTTTATATTTCCAGACTACTCACACTTCTGTTCCATTTCTTTCATTTCTTCAGGCAGAATTTTCAATTTGTCAATATGTTCTCTCACAACACTTGCCCATTTCTGTAAAGAATCCAATGCAGTCCAAGGCTTCGACATGTCAACAACCAGCATAACCAGAGTATCTTTCAGAGAAATGGCATCCAGTGAAAATTTCAGGAGGCCTTTGTGATACAGGTCCCCATCTAAGATCCATACGTTACATCTTGTTTGATCTATAACAGACAAAAGGAAGTTACCAAGGCAACAGAATGAGTTATTTCATCATCCAACCTCCAATACTACTTGGGATTTTAGGACATCTCCACAGGATGTACCTCCTTTGACAAGGTTCAACTACTTAGGTTACATCTACCAGTTTACTAAATGTTTAATGAATACTCAGGAAAATTATTTAACTGCCCACATGAAACACCAGCACGCTCTATTTCTCAATCCACAAATCACAGACTAAATAACATATTTCTATTTTTACTGTCAGCAGACAGACATGCATATTCAAGATATTATATATAAAAATGAGAAGGCAAGTGATTTACAGAAGAAAAAAATAGCTTATCAGATGAGAAAAGCTGAGGAATAAAGACATTTTTATGTCAAGAAATCAGAGGGTGAAAAAGGAGTCAGCAAAAACAGTAAAGCATAGTTATTATTTCACTATCTGAGGGAAAATGAACTGAAAACTTGAGACTCTTCTAGGATAGCAAAAAAAGCTAGTCTGCACACCTTAAGATGTTTAAAAATAACAGTATGGGGGGAGGAGCCAAAATGGCAGCACCAGTAGAGCAGCGGAAATCTCCTCCCAAAACCATATATATTTTTGAAAATACAACAAATACAACTATCCCTAAAAGAGAGACCAGAAGATCCAGGACAACAGCCAGGCTACATCTAACACCTGTGAGAACCCAGCGCCTCATGAAGGGGGTAAGATACAAGCCACGGCCCAGCAGGACCCGAGCGCCTCTCACCCCAGCTCCCAGCGGGAGGAGAGGAGTTGGAGCGAGGAGGGAATGGGAGCCCAGGACTGCTAAATATCCAGCCCTAGCCATCCGCACCAGGAGCACAGACACACAGTGCGTGGTGTGCGGGATACTAGGGAAATGGGACAGTAAAACCTGTGAGCGGGTCCCTGCAGCTGGTGCCCCTGGGACAAAGAAAAGTGAGTGCTTTTTGAAAGTCCTAAAGGGACAGGGGCACCACAGCTGGATGGAAGCATCCCAGGAAACTCAGCCCAGCAGCTGGGAATCCTGGGGAACTCCAGGCGCCCTAACCCCTGGGCGGCAGCACAGCTCTGAGGCCCCTCAGAGCGATAAACAGCCTCCTGCCCATTTCCCCTCCGACGCGGCTCCGCCATAGCAGAGCAGCAGCCTGAGAGTGGTCACACCCACAGCAACTGCGGAGCTTAACTCCACAGCGGCTGGGCAAGAATCAGACCCTGTTTGCACGCAGCTGCCCAGTAAAAGCCGCTAGAGGTTGCCGTTATCACAGAAGAGGAAGGCCACAAACTAGCAAGAAGGGACGTTCTCCCAGGCGACACACATGCCAGCTCCCCACAACTACCTCTATCGCCATGAAAAGGCAGAAGATTTTGATCCAGACCAAAATCACAGAGACAACCCCTGACATAAACAGCGGAGAGATAGACATAACCAATCTCCCTGAAAAAGAATTCAAAATAAAGGTCATTACCATGCTGATGGAGCTGCAGAGAAAAATGCAGGAGCTAACGGACAAATAGGGAGGGAGACTACAGAAATAAAACAATCTGGAAGGATTCAAAAGCAGAATGGATGAGATGCAAGAGGCCATTAATGGAATAGAAACCAGAGAACAAGAACGCATAGAAGCTGATGCACAGAGATAAAAGGATCTACAGGAATGAAGGAGGAGGAGGAATAAGAAGGGAAAGAAATGAAGAATCATCAGAGAGTGTTTATAATTGCTCAATAAGCAAGTTAAGTTAGACAGTAAGATAGTAAAGAAGCTAACCTTGAACCTTTGGTAACCATGAATGTAAAGCCTGCAATGGCAATAAGTACATATCTTTCAATAATCATGTAAATGGACTGAATGCACCAAAGACACAGAGTAATAGAATGGATAAAGAAGCAAAACCCATCTATATGCTGCTTACAAGAGGCTCACTTCAAACCCAAAGACATGCACAGACTAAAAGTCAAGGGATGGAAAAAGATATTTCATGCAAACAATAGGGAGAAAAAAGCAGGTGTTGCAGTACTAGTATCAGACAAAATAGACTTCAAAACAAAGAAAGTAACAAGA